AGTAAAAATCCATTCAATTAATTTATCGCCTTCGTTTTTCAACCGATTTACTTCATTATCCAACTGATTAACTTCATCGACACTTATTTGTCATTTCACCGACATTTTAGCCCGATTTAGGGTTAGGGTTTAGCCAGTTTTATATTTTCGGTGAAATTATTGTCGGTGAAATAATACGGACCCGTCATTGAAGTGTGCTGTCTGTTAATTGTGCTGTCAGTGAAATGTTCTGTCGGCAAAATGGTGTCAGAATAATCTGTCGGTGTAATTGATGCCGGCCCTTCTAAATCTGTAATTAAATATATATTAAATTGTATTATTTACATATTTAATTACTTATATGTTAAAAGTTTAAAAGGCAATTTTTCTAAAGCTTTGTTTCCAAATCCTTTGCATATTATCATTAATGACCGACAAATTCTTAAATACTGTACTTAAGGCCACCCAATTTAATTCGGTGGTTTACATTACCCCCACCCCCCTCTCTCTCTTGCTCCCCACTCTCCCTCATAGTAAAAAAAAATTCTCTCTCTCTTGCTCCCCACTCTTCCTCATAGTAAAAAAAAATTCTCTCTCTCTTGCTCCCCACTCTCCCTCATAGTAAAAAAAAATTCTTTCTCTCTTGCTCCCCACTCTCCCTCATAGTAAAAAAAAATTCTCTCTCTCTTGCTCCCCACTCTCCCTCATAGTAAAAAAAAATTTTGGTAAATAACATAAGGATTACGGAAAATTGAACGGAACATTAAACCACCGAATTAAATTGGGGTGGCCTAACAACTTGTAAAATTGTTTGAGTTTTAATTCCCATATGTGAAATTTAATCCTGCTGATGAAATTTTTTATCATAATAAATTCATCCATCGGAATTGTACGTAACACGAGAAATTTCCAATTATATTTTTTAAAATAAATTATATATTTTTATACGTAACACTGGGGATGTCTGTCAACTAAGTAAATCAAAACTATATATGTGGTCACTTATAATTTAAGCTTATTGAATTTTTTTTTGCTCAAATTTATTAATCAGTGATGTATTATATATAAATATATAAAATTGACGCATTTTTTTTAGATGCGCAGGTCACAATTTTCTATTTTAGCAGAAAGTTTCAACGCCAAATGACTCTTTCTCATTCCATTAACAAAGTTACAGAATTATTTATTTAAAAAAAAAAATACAGATAAAGTAAATTTATAAAAAAATTCGTTTTCCATATATAATATGAAAAATAAGGCTCTATAACTCGCATTGTAGAGACTTCTTTCAATCCATTCAAAATTTGAAGTTCTAATTTTTAGATATAAAGGCCTTGCATCTAAATAATTATCATAATAATTTTTAGATGTAAAGGCCTTGCATCTAAATAATTATCGTCATAACTTTTGTTAAAAAATTTTATAATAAATTTTATATGATACCATATATGGTTGATATCTTTCAGGTGATTAAGTATATGTGGAAATAAAGTTCTAACTTTTTTGTGAAGCCTATAGTTTTGATTTACTTAGTTGACAGACATCCCCAACGTAACACGAGTAATTTCTATTTATATTATACATAGACTGACGATCAGCAATCTGGACTGGCGATCAGGGAGAATTAAGGCAATCTGATACCGGAGGTTTCTTAAACAATTTCCTTATTTGGTAAAATTGTGTTTGAAGATATAAGTTTTTTTTTTTCAATACACTAATTATATTTTTTAAATGGAAAATGTTTTTTGCGCATCCCGCATTGCAATGCACTCCCCTAATTAGCAATTAGATTTTAGCGTTAGGGTTTATTGTTTTTTTTAATTTTGTGTAACATAATATAGTAATTTTGCATTTTAATTGGCTAATTAGGAGAAACCCTTTTTTAAAATAAAAGTAAAAGTTAAATTTAAAATTGTGATTTTTGTTGAAGTATTAAATATAAATACGGCAGATAATTCTTTCTCAGTGCGCCAAAGTTAACAATCTTTTAGTATGAATATAACAGATAATAAAGAAAAATATAAAAGTCAGGAATGCACGAGGTATGAATTATTTATTGATTCGTTAACATTTTAATATTATTGCAATATTAAATTTCGATTAACTATATAGTAAACATGCTAAATCAGAGAAAAAAAGACGGGATGAAATGAAAAACCGTCTCGAAGGTCTCCATGAGCTTCTCTCCTCTACATCATATGCAAGTGTCAACGTGTCTAAATTAGAATTACTGCAAAATGGTATGTAACAATTTTCGATTTGAAGTTATTAAGATAATTTAAATCCCGACAGCAACCTGATAACATAGCTGATATGGCGCAGGAGTTGGCGGTCTCGTGACTACTGCCCAAATCATTTTTTTTTAAAAAAAAAGGAAGGAATCGAAATAACTTATCAATTTATTATGATAACTAGCTTTCGTAAAGTTTTCAATACAAGAACATGTTATTTGTGTTAGCATAGTTCAAAAACGTTTAGATAAACGTTTAGATCAACATCAAATATTAATGTTGCGGATAAATCACGGGACAGCCAATGTTTGCGCCATAAAAATATCGATTCTAGCAATTGTACAGCCAATTCTCTATAGGTTCACACTTACTTTTTTCTATAAGTGTCATCCCTTTATAATGCACTCTCCATAAATGCACTCATTCGACCAAATTTTAGTATCCACACAATATATTGTTTAAAGTGCCAATTATTACACATTCATGTACTTCCTAATTACGCGAAAAGGACCTAGATTATTGTAATCGAGAGTTAGAATATCCAAACTAAATGTTACATAGGTTATATATCTTCGTGCAAATTATAACAATATTTTTCACATGATATATAACACATGTAGTGTGGACTATATTACATTTCCTTTGCAGGAAAGGGTTCCCTAGACACAATACGCGTATATCTAGCTAGAAAAGCATAGATAAAAGTCTTGGGAACACCTTGAGAACGCTTGCTGGTCTGTGATTGTATAACGATAATATACTCTAGCTAACTTATAATATTTATTATTTTATTAAGCTACCTCCTATATAAAAAATTTGCACGATGAAAATGAAAGTTTAACTTGTGAAGTGAATCGATTGAATAATGAAGTTAATCAGTTGGATAATGAAGTAAATCGGTTGAAAAACGAAGGCGATAAATTAATTGAATGGATTTTTACT